TATAATTTATTTAATATAATTTATTATTATAATATTTTAATATTATAATATTCCTTATTATCAATTTTGAATATTATCTTTTTTTATATTTTTTATACAATGAATTTTGATTTTCAATATTTTGTTACATTTTTCATCGAAGATATACTTTATGGAAATAAAAAAAAATCGATTTTCAATATTATTGTCGAGAATGAGGTAACATCGTTAATTATGCTTATATCACATAAGCATACCTAAATAAATAAAACTAATATAATATAATCCATATCGAAATTGTTAAGATTCATAGGAAAAATAACATAAATTTTTAAATAATATGTGATAAACTATATATGTAAATGTCTACTTGAATTATGTATAATTAATTATTCAAATTATTAATTCCCTAAATGGTGCGCGATAACGGAAATCATCTTGTACTGTACACAAAAGAATATCAGTTTCTTTATATATACATATATACATTTAGAGATTCGAGAAACATAAGACAAAAAAAAAAAATGGAATTGTAGTGATGCTTTATTAATTTTATGTCCGCGACTTTTCAGTAGATAGTATTAATAAAAAAAAAAAAGTGTCGCGTAATATAACTTTGTTCTTTGTATAATTAACAAAAAAGTACTTTTGAACAACGTATGTCATTAATTATATAAATATATATGTATTTATATAATTATATAAATATAAATGTATGTATTTTCGGTAAAAAAAAATTTCTCCGAGAGACTGAATATTGTAGAAGATCATCGTCCGAAAAGATGGAATTTCAAGTAGAGGGGATTCCTTCACGCGATTTTTGTATCATCGAGATTCTCATTTAGATTTCTTATTAGATATAATTTTCACCACATTGGAACTAATTTTTTCGATATTTTTATTTTATTTAAATCGTAAAATAACGACAAATTGTAAAAAAATTTAAGAAAATGTTGGATTACGATTGATTAAAAGAAGCGAAGAAAAAAAAATTACTTTGTAAAATGGATTTGAATTTTAAAAATAATGTTTGGATTCAAAGATATTTCATTTTTCTAAAAATTTATCGGAGAAATCTTCATTGTTAATAACATGATTAAAAAGTATTCTAAAAGAATATTGTTATTTCATATCTTCGCAAAATTGAAAAACGAATATTGATCAAATTTTGAGAATATTCATTACAATAACGAGATCCGAATAGACTTAAAAGTTATTGAGATTTATTTATTATTTATTTAATATTGAATAAAAAGATATTGTTGCACATGTATACATGTAGCTGATCTGCACGCCGATAATATCTTCGATTTTTCATGAACCGCGAAAGTAGATGATGTTGAGACTGTATTATTATCATATACTTTATTATTATCCACGTGTATTCCAATGTCTCCTAAAATTTGAGATATAATAAAATTATATTGCGTTACATAAAACGATATTCTTTGAGAAAAAAAAAAGAACATATTATTTTATACAACAACGTAACAAAATTATAAATTTTATTTTATCGGATTTATTCGTAGTAAATTACAACTTATATACGTAACGTATTATGTTCCTTTGTTACTCGTACCATAGTTGACTTTAAATAATTTCAGTAACACGTTCCATGCCATGTGAAAATGATAATTCATAGCATTGATCAAAAATTACATTATTTTTAAAGGAATATTTTTCTTATAATATTAAATATCTTTTAAAAAGAGATATGAAATATAAAAAGTACAAAAAAGAATATATATCGAGATAAATATAAAAATAAAAACAATTATAATTT